ATGATCGTGCAAATTCTCCCAGAGAGAATTATATAAAATATGCGACGAGTTCAAATGAGAATTCAAATTCTGATATTGAACAGGAACAAGAAAAACATTAACAGCCTGTTGTGTCTTAGCATAATACCACACGCGTGGAATAACAGACGATTGAAAGGAAAATTTGAACATGTCGGTCAAGGCAATAGACAAATGACAGAGAAGGAATTACCATTGGCAAATCACCTGCTCTTGATGATTGAGAGAAGAGGTAATTTCCAGATTGCAAACGCGATCGAGATAGCCCTGTCGTAACTGGCGAAAGGTGCACAGTAAGATTTCCACGCGATTTTCAAACTTTTCAAAGCAAAAGGCTCGACAAAAAACACAGAGTACTCATTCCAACTCAAAAATAAATCGGAACTTCATTTAAGTCATGTTCTACAATCTTTTTTTCTTGTAAAGCTTGACATAATCATTCAAATTAGTTATTTGCATTTTTCATTTCTCCAGTACACAAGAGAAAAGCTTTAACACAAACATCACATTTATATGCACGTTTTTGTAAGATATTCAGCTTAACTGACAGCTTCATTGAGAGAAGTCAAAAATTAAACCTGACATTTTTGTCTCTTTTTGTTATTATGGACAATAGTATGCGAATATAAGTAGCCCAGAGTAACGCCACAAAGCCTTTTTGCCTTCTCTTTTTTGTATTTTTTCGTGCAAGTAAATAAACGCTTGGATTAAAAATAAAACGCAGCCACAGAATACGTCCAAATCGCAAGCCACTACAATTATTGCGACAAACTGATTCTGAATACAAGAAATTTTACGTTTAACAACGTGTATTAAACAGCTGCATGTTTTAATTTTTTTAGACCCAAGCTGATTCACGCCTTATAATAATAAAACTTCACCTCGTTACCTAGAAAAACTCCCCTTCGCATAAGTCTAGCGTTTTCAGAGGTAAACATTTAATCAGAACTGAGGAATTTCAACGACATTCTTCACCTGAGGGGGAAAATAGTTGTCTCGACAGCCGTGAAATACTGATTTGTCTGACTTTCACAGTAGTTGAAGCAATGTTTTCTTTTTATATAATGAATAGGGCTGGCTCGCAAATGACAATAGCATTGTTTTACGATGTGGACATGTATCACTTATGCTAATCTTTGTGCATGGTGATCCAAACCTTCATTTTGGGGATAGAACCGACTTTGAAGTTAATGACAGCTTGTCCGAGGCATATGTTCGTAAAATAGCAGAAGAACAACATTTCAACACGGGTGATCGACATGGTCTGTTGCATAGCAAGCATTTCAGCATAAAATCACAAAATCTGAGCAAATTCTAAAGTGGATAGTAAATAAAAGTTTTAAAAGGAATATTTGTTACGCTTCAGACATGCCTTCTCTGCTGTCTGTTATGACGCCGCGTTCATCACCATAGCACACACATGATGAATCCTGTCATTTCCAAAATATTTTATTTTATGTTTGTTTTTATTATTATTTTTTTTTCATTTTATTATTACTATTATTATTTGCTTTCGAATTACATTCTGATCTAAATTGGCCAAATTTGCTCTACTTGCCTTAATCTATGATTTAAAATATTTGTTTTGACTGCAACCCTCGGAAAACGAAATCTCACCGTTGTTGAAACATGGTATGCATGCGTCTGATAGCTATTTCTTCTGGGCTTACCTGCCAGTGAACTCGATCGCAACCCTGTGTTCCGGTGAATTCAAAATTACTTCGCATCAGCAAGTAAAGGAAAGAGCAAGCCTGCAAAACGGAACAACAAAATGTCTGAGTTGCAACAAAACACTCAGTGCTATTTAATTGAACAAAATTATGCTGCATAATTCATGCGAAAAAGGGAAGTGGCTAATGGAGAAAGAAACTAACGCTTATGTGTGGTGATTGCTGATGATTACTTGATGCCGTTTTAGTATTGAAAGCTAGCGTCTGGTAAAGAACTTTCCCTCGTGGGACTAAGAACGTTTGGGACTGCGTATTTCAGTCGATGACACCATAAGGCCGTTATGCGCTCGAACACTCGCGTAAGGAACCTAGACAGACAACGTTCTATTGAAAAACACTTCATGAACCAGAAGGAAAATCTTCATGTGAAAAAATAAAATAAAATAAAGAATTCTAAACGGCACGAATGACCCATTGCGCTTCGACTCGCTGTTGCAATTTACGGAGGACACTGGCGGCGTCAATAATCACTACTAATAGTTTTAACAGTGTAAAAGGGAAGCAAGGAAATGAAAAGTCACCTTTGCAGCCACTCAAAAGATCGTTTTTGCCGCATTTATCCGAACAGGAGTTTGACCATCAGATTTGAATCTTAAATCGAGTTGTGCCTATACTAGTAACCACGCAGACAGTCTTCGCGTTGGCCTCGCTAACTTCGGCGACATCGCAAAGAGGGCGTTGGAGATACATGCGCATGGCTTTAACTATTTGACAGAACGCTGTTGAAGAATATGGCTAAATTTGCACCTCCTACGCGGACGTTTTTATGGCTCTGTCTGACAAAGTGACAAGGTGTCATTTGCAAATTATACGCACCTGGTTCCGAAGACTTTCCAACTTCGAGTTGCAGCAGCTTAAAATCTGCCAAATGAAGTAAAAAGAGAGAATAAAAAATAATTATTAAAGCAATATTCAGGAAGGATAAGAAGTAACAAATCCATGATAAATCTACTAACGGTATTTAAGATTTTTTCGCAATACAATTTACCGGACAAGCACGCATTAAAATTAGCCAGTTGATTCCCAAATTTGAAAGTCAAATCTTGCGCAGACTAGCCGCGGCTATATCTAGGTAAAATTCTCAGTTATAGCAAAAAGACACTCCCATTAAAGTAAAAGAAACTTTGCATAACTAGGTAGAAAAGGGCTCCATCGCTACCCAGCATAAAAATATATAGCTTTGACTCTACAAAAGAAAAACAAAATCCTCAAAATTTCCAATTCTATAACAACAATGAGAACGAGATGGTATATAGAAAGTAATATTCCCTTTATTAATATAGACATTGTTTATTCTTAGCCGGAGCAACCAATCTTAGAGAAGCCAATTTTCCCAAACACGAAGGACTGACAAAGAAGGATATCTCTGTAAAACTTGACGACTGATTTCAGATCAATGTTTTCATCGGTTTCTGATGTAACCAGATAAACTTTGTATTTTGAATGTAAAAATAAGTCATTTTGTTTTATCCTCAGGTATTAACTACCACGCTAATAATTGACTTTTAAGTACTGGTTAGAACATAAAAGGGAATGTAATTGCACATAGGGAAATCGAAATTGTAAATAAAAATATTCGACGCCAGTATAATTAAGTAATAAAGAAAACGAGACTTCTTAATGAGAGCCGTTCGCTCCATTGCTCCTACAGTTTCGCTACACCAAACGCTTTTCTCTCTCTCCCCTCCCTCCCCAACGCTTCTGACTTAAGCTTGTATTTAAAATGTCAATACATGGGAAAAAGCAAAGAACACAATCAACTTTGTGATATTTTAATGGTGTACCATTAAGCCAAAAACAAATGTTTCAATAATTACGACAGAAATATGAACTTCCAGTGCCGATTTGAAGTTTGCTCGGAATCCATAAGACCGCATTCAGTTAGGAATTACTATCATTACACTATTTATCCGGCGGATAATTGTTGACACGTACCTCACGACAAAGATCTCCACAGTAACTTGCACTGCCCCTGTACAATGCAGCTGGAAACTAGGGAACAGCAAAGAACACAGGTAAAACGCGATACCACATAACAAAATTTGGACTACCAGCCTGAATTTTCTATGAGCGAATAGTCAAGGAGGGGTAGCCGAGTTGACTATCGCTCATGGAAAACGAGGGAAATTCAACAATTTCCGGATTTTATGGAAGCTTTTCCGGAAATATCCGTACTATTTGTCCTTGTTTCGAGATCTTCGAGATTTTTGGTTGTATGGAAAGTACACATCAGTATTCCTCGCAAGATTGACCTCTTTTCCGTAAATTGTGGACAATGCTGTTCCATTCGCCGATGGAAATTTCCAAAAATGCTCGAATGGAAAGCCCCATGTCAGATTTTCGTTCTTAAGTCAATGAACAGAGCCAATCATTCTGATACAATGATCTCCAAGTATTTTGAGCATGATTCGTGACAATTCTAAATGATCAAACAAACAAATTAAAAAAAAAAATGTTAAGACCAATTTGAAGTGTTCACCTTGAAAATTGAAAACAGGCATTTCTGAGTAACAAGAGAAGCGCGAGCAACATCATTTGAAGGTGACAAATCAGTAACGACTAACATAACACAATAATCTGGGCGGTTGATTGGAGTTTAAGTAGTTCACCTTGTTGATGTAAGATCTGAGACTCGCAAACACGTGTTTCATCATGAACTCCGATTGAGGAATCTGTAAGAAGCTAAGCAGTACATTGAACACCTGTCAAGAGAAGAAACAAAAGAAAAAAAACAGGCAGCTAGAATCTGTAGCTCCGGGGATCACAGAGAACTTTGGCGTCTAGGTTACCAAAGACTTGTTCAGCTCTGCCCTACTAGTTAACACGATGTCTGATTGTCACGAGAACATGGCAACCAAATCGTAAAACTGCACAAAGCTCTATACAAATTTTTACGATAACTGCAGAAATGCTCGCGCG